GTTGCCGCTCAGTTTTCAGGGCATTCCCGGGTCAGGGCAGAAGTCCTGGTGTGCAGGGCAGCAGCCAGTTATGGGTAGTGCTAGCAGCCCGATGAGTTCGAGCCAAGATGGTGAGGGCAGAATCACAGACTGCGTCCCCGTGTGGGCCAGTTAGTCATTCTGCCACACGGCCACAGTCTGTACCCTCGTTCTAGCCGACTGCCTCACAAATGTGTGTTATTCCACAGGAGGGGGACTGAATGAGAGTGTGTGTAGAGCAGCAGACATTTATCACCACGACTAGGAAAATGGTGCTTCTTATAGCGTCGTCTCTGTGGATTTCTCTGGTGATGGACCACAAAGCTTTGTTTGGACTTGGCCTTCCATCTCCCTCTTCTAATTATGGTTCATGTTGGGGAAGATGCAGCCGTCTTGTGATTGAATGCTGAGGGAAGCTGCTTCCTAGGCCCAGCTCTCCCACAAACCTGTGATGCATTCTCGGACGAGCCATTTTCAGACTGGGCTGGATGACCTCAGAGTCCCTTTCTGCTGCTAGTGTTCTTTGAGTCTGGATTCGATAGCTGAAAAAACTAGGCTGGAAAGCATTAAAAGGTCACCCTTTGAGAGGAACTGTCATTAGGAGGACATGTGTGCTGTTGGGATGGGTCACACTGAGTTATCTGTACCCTCCTGCCTGGCACCTCTTGTGAATCACAACACACATCTGCAGAGTGGCCAGTTGCTGGGCTGGGAGGGGTTCCGTCTCTTGTTTTCCCCTGTGATGGTCTTTGGTCTGTGGGGACACGCCTGGAAAACAGCTTCATAAACTGTCCTCTCACCAACTGGGCCAGCTGACCCAGGTACAAAGAGGAAATGGAAAATCAGTCCATCAGGAAGGGTGCCTAGCTGGCTTCGACTGCTGCTCACTCCTCTCTGAAAGCAGCCCCCACCCACAAAGCTGGACGCCCAACCTCTCCCACCCACCTGGCTGGGCTCCTCTTTGGCATTGCAGAAGTGGTGAGGGGAGGTTGTTTGGAGCATTCAAGAGATTATGTGCCAGGAGGGAAGGGGAAATGAAAACCAAGAACATATTTTTAAACTCGTAGACTTCTCTGAACCCAGGCAAAAGCAACTGCTAAGGGTGTGATTCAAATAGCAAGCAGCATCCTCTTTGGGTTGGGTTGTTCTTGAACACACCTCTGAAGATGGGGACCCCTGGACTTCCCCCCAACGAGAATGCTGCCAGGAAAAGACCCTGGGGCAGAAGCTTCTGCCAGGCAGTATCACTGGGATCCCCATAGACAGAAGGGGAACTGATGGATGAAGGCTCTGCCAGAATTTGGAAGTTCTGGAGGCAGTGCTGAGTGCCCAAACCCAGCTGGTGAAGTGCATTAGAAATGTGTTTAAAAAAATTTCTGGTACTGGCACTAATGCCCATTGCCCTTGCTCTTTGCCCTTCCCCCCTCATATTCTTTATTTACTTGCATTTTGTTCCTTTGCCGGCGCTGTTTTCGCAGCCATGTGTGAAGGTTGCTGAGGACAGGCCTTAGGCGTACTAAGTGCTTTCCATATGTAAACATGGGATCAGCCAGAGGCTTTGGGACGAAGGGCTGCTGGGAAAGGCTTCCTTTAGAAGGTGGGATTTTAGCTGGGGTTTGCAGCCTGGAGGCTGAGATGGGGGGGGGGGCCATTCCAGACACCAGAGATGGAGAGATGGAGAGTCTTGGTGGTGGAAGCCAGTGTCACGTGGTGGGGGGGTGGGATGCGTAGTAAAGGAGCCAAGTTGTGTTTTTCAAGCATGAAGCTGGCTGAAGAGTCAGCAGGACACCGTAAAAACGGGTTGAAGGCAGGACACTGTATAAACGGGCTGAAGGCAGGACACCGTAAAAACCAGCTGAGAAGTTTGGGAGTTCTCTCCACACCGCTTGTACTGTGCACGTGATGAAAGTTGTGTTTTGGAGGTGGTCTCCAAGTAGCTTCAGCCTCACCAGCCGTGGAGCAAGAGAAATGGGCCTGCAGTGCAAGGAAGCACTTCCTAGAGCTGATATCTGCCAATGCTGGAATCTGGGGGGCTAGAAAGGGGAGGGCAGTGTATGAAGGGTTTTAAAAGCCAATAAGATTAAATGACTTGCCTGAGGTAAGGAACTCAGTAAGTGCCATAGGCAGGTTTTGAACCCAGATCCCATGACTCCCAAATCAATACTTTTCCCACTATACAGATTTTCCATTTTTCATTGTTTTGTCTAGATTTTTATTCATTTTGATCTTTGCTCTGGCCAGTCAGTGGCCTGATGACTGTTCACAGACAGTTGATTCAGGAATGACTTCCCCTTCAGTAAGGGGTTGTTTCCTGACAGAATAATAACTTGGGGTGGGAGAGGGGGTCGTGATATTTGAGGCTCACTCTGCCTGGTACTTTCCTGATACTTTTCTCCAAAAAAAGTTTTCATGATGGTTTTTTGGGGGGTTTTTTTGGACAGGACCTGTGACTTCTTAGGTGTTGGAAATTCCTGGTGAGGAAACTCCCCTCCAACAGTGCCAGTTGGTAACTGTTCTGTAATTTACAGTGTTAGTGAAGTGACTGGCCCAGGGTCACACAACCACTACCTGTCTGAGGTAGGACTTGAACCCAGGTCTTCCTGACCCTGAATCTGGCTCTGTTTACTCCATCGGGTATTTCTTGTACATGAGTACACAATTAAAATAATAATGCAACAGCCTACATTTACATAGCACTTTTAAGGTTACATGCATACCCTTGTCATATAGAGTCTGTTATATACGTTGTCTCAGCATTATTTTTTGCACCTTCGTAGTCTTACCTTCGGTTGAAAAACATTCCCTGAATCAGGTTCCTGAACTCCTAAAGCTTCTATTTTGTTTTCTGAATTAGGGCCTCACTCTCTCCAAAATGCTTAACCATACAACCTGGAGATGGAGGTGGGTGGCATCTGGACCAGAAGTAGGTTCCTGAGTTGATGTATTTTCCATTGTGAAATCAGATATAGGATCATAGCTCTGAAGCTGAAAAGGACCTTAGCAGTTGTCTAATCCACACGTGTCCCATTTGCCACCTGAGTGCAGCCTGCCCCAGATTAAAATGTCATTGGGATTGTGGCTTTGAATTTATCAGAGATATTCAGCCTTTCACAGTTGATTCTTCTTACATTGTTGTTGTTACTGGTTAAATTGTTCTCCTGGTTCTGCTCACTTCACTTCACATCAGTTCATGTAAGTCTTCCCGGGCTTTTCTGAAACTGTCTCCTTCATCATTTCTTATAGCACAATAGGATTCCATCACAGTCATATGCAGCCATTCCTCAATTGATGGGTGTCCAGGGAGGGAGGAGAAAGGGAATTTAGAACTGAAAATAAAATAAAAAAAAAATAAAATAAAATCTTCTTAAAAACTAAAAAAGAAAAATGTAATTGGGAAATGTTTAACAGAATGAATATACAATACAATATAGATAAGTTAATTTGTGGTTTTGAGTTTGAAACCATTGGTCTAGTCCAACCCATTTGTTTACAGATGAGGAAATTGAGGCTGGAAGAGATAAGGTGACTTGCCCACAGTCCCACAGACAGGAAATGGCAGAGACAGGATGTGTCCTCTGACTCTTTCCGCTGTGGCACCCCTGTGGTTAGACAGTGAAATGGTGAGGTAATTGGCAGAAACACTGACCCTCACGGTATTTGGGAAAGTGTGTTGATGAAGAGGACTTGGTGTGTTGTGAGACCCCCATGAAGCATCCTCTCTGCCCATTCTCCTGACCCCCTCCTCCAAGGGTATGCTGCTCTCAGGCGCTCTCTGTGTCCACGCTCATCTTAGGAGCCTAAACCACATATAACTAAGAAGGTCAGTCTGCAAAAACAAAGGAAATTATCAGCCACTCAACAAGCATTTATTAAGCACCTACTGTGTCCCAGCTGGAAACTGAAAGAATTGAAATAGGCCTTGCCCTCAAGGAGGTTTGTTCTCTTGGAGAAGACAAGTAGAGCTAGAATATACAGAAAATGAGTGGGGAAGTTTGGGTGGGGGTGAGAGGGTTAGGAAAGCCTGCTTGGAGAAGGTGCTGCTCCAGCTGAGTCTGGGAGGAAACCAGAGGTTCCAAGAGGAGATGATGAGGAAGGGCATTTTAGGCATAGCCAGTGCTGGGAGATGGGGTGTGTGTGTGTGTGTGTGTGTGTGTGTGTGTGTGTGTGTGTACATGTACGTGTGCGTGTACACATGCATGGGATGACAGGTCAATTAGGCAGGACAGTAACAATGTGTGGAGGGGAGGGATGAACACGATGGTTGGAAGGGCAGAAGGCCAGGTTGGAAAGGGCATGAAAGGTCAAAGAGAGCATATTCTGTCTGGTCCTGGGGGTAGTAGGGAACTACAGGAGTTTGTTGAGTAGGGCTGGGATAGCATGGTCAGACCCGCACTGTCAGTGAATCAGTTTGGCAGCAGGAACGGATTCGAGCCGGGAGGGGGAGCAGAAGCTTCCTCGCTGAGCCCTCCCCTGATGCCCCTCCAGGCGTAGAGGCGACATTGGATTCTCAAAAGTGATGCCTGTGGAGCTTGAGATGGGGAAGGTCCTGCCAAGCTGGCCCAGCTGCAGGTGCAGGCCCGGACCTGTCCAGCAATGCCCAGGCCAGCCACACAGTGATGGATTGTTTGGGTACAGCCACTTTGAGATTGTCTTCCGAGGCCTAGAGAGGCTGTGAACTGGCCCAGTGGAGGGAAGGCCCGCATCAGCAAAAGCACGATGCTGGAAATGCAGAGCTTTGATAAGTGTGCACACATGCGCACACACGCACACAGTGCACACAAATGCATGCACGCACACACACGTACACACACGCACACGCACACGCATGCCCACACAGAGAGACATACATACGCACTTTTTTTAACCTGCCTTAGATCAGCTTCATTCCTATTTTTGGCCATCAGTTTATCTCACTGTTTAGGTTGTAAATTATCTTCTCTCCCCACTCTTTCCTGGCCAACTGTCCGTTTTGTCCATTGCAGATGGAGGCAGCTATATTATCGGTGACTTGAGGCTGTCTGTCACAGATTCCGGGGATGGGGCCTCCTTGAGTCCCACCAGGCCCACCTGGGAAATGAATTACCAAGAGGCAGCAATCTACCTCCAGGTAAGTTTTTGTCCCCATCTTGTGCATGGCTCCACGTTTATCAAGAATTCCACAGTTCAGTTCGTAGCTGGCTTATTGGCCTTCCTGGGTCGAGTCATTTCGGTCGGTCATATAAAGTACCCTGAATGCTGAATGAATTAATGAATGTCTTAATTCTGGCCCCTGTCCCCTGCCATCTGACTCAGAGCAACCCTCTTCTCTCAGAATCACAGGGAAGCCCAGAGTTAACAGGCTAGAGGGGAAGGCTTTCTTTATGTGCTCAGCACAGGTGTTCATGGGGTGATGGTGGGAGAAGCTCAGGCAGTTTGCTTTTTAAAATTCCTTGGTTTGCTGCCTGTAAAGGATGCCAGTTACTTGATCTGATTCAGTTCACATGTTTGGTAGCGGTCCTTTTGCATCCATCTAGTTCCCTTTCCATTTTCTTTGCTTCCATCAGTCTGATCTTAGGTGGTGAGTTTCAGGCAGGCCCCAGACATATCCTTTGGGATAGAGATGAATGAATGAATGAACGAATGAACGAATGAATGAAAAAATTATTCAGCTGATACTTTGTGCTAGACACTATGCTAAGTATACAAATACAGAAGCAAGTCAATCCTTCCCCTCAGAGAGCTTCCATTCTAAAGGGGGAGACAGCCCACAAAAGGGAATGGAAGGTGAAGAGGGGCTCTTTGATCAGTGTGAGGAGCTGTAGGAGAGTAAACTGACCCACCCTTCCTAGGAAATGTGGCAGAGGTGATTTGATCACCATTGTTGGGGGGGGGAATGTTTGGGGGAGCATGGTAGGAAAGGGAGTGTGTCACTGCTGGGCAGTCTGTGGCTGAGATGGTTGGAGGCTAAACAGTAAACTGAGGCTTGACAGGGCTTGGACTTCCCTGAAATCATGGGCTGGCAGAGGTAGTCTCCAGGAAGGCTGGCAGGATTCCAAGGGCAGAAGTGCCTCAGTCAGTTGGCAAACATTTATTAAGCACTTACTATGTACCAGGCACTGTGCTAAGTGCTGAGGATACAAATTAAGGCAAAAAACCAGTCTCTGTCCCCAAGGAGGCTGCATTCTCATGGAAGAGGCCCCTTGTGCGTAACTAGGTTCATACAGAATTCGTACAGAGTAGATGGAAGGCCGTCGCAGTGGGGAAGTCCCTAGCAGCTGTGGGGGACCAGGAAAGGCCCTCTCGCAGAAGGTGGCATTTAAGGAGAACCTTGAAGGAAGCTGAGAGGTGGAGGGAAGGGAGAGCATTGTGGGCATGGGACATCCAGCAGACAGACCTCATGTGGAGAGCAACAAGTAACTGGCTTGTAGAGGACATGGAGGGTGGAGAAGGGTCTAAAAACGAGCAGGGCCAGAGGACCCAGGCTGTGAAGTGCCTTGGGGGCCAGACAGAGTTTTCATTCTATCCTAGGATTGCAAACCACTAGACTTGGAGTTAGGGGGATGAAGTGGGCACATCTGTGCCTTAGGAAAGTTATCTTGGGGAGAGACTTGGGTCAGGGAGAGCAGTTAGGAAACAGCTGCTGTCATTCAGGCAAGAAGTGGTGAGGTCCTGAGCCAAGCCAGGGACTGGGAGCCCAGACCAGGGAAGCATAGGAGGGATATTGTGTTAGAACTACAAAATCTGGCAATGGATTGGTGCCTGGCACACACTAGGCACTCAATAAATGTTTACTGAACTGAGTGCAAGTGAAGAATTGAGGCCTTTGGTGACTGGGAGGATGGTGGTGCCCTTGACTGCCATCGGGAGTTCAGATGTTAGGGAAGGCTGGAAAGGGAGAGAGTTTGGGGGGAAGACAGTGAGTTCTGCTTTAGACTTCGGCTGCAGACGTCCAGAAGATAGTTGGTGATGTGGGACTAGAGCTTGAGAGAAAGACTAGAGAAGGCAAGAGCAAGATGGCCAGAGGGGAGGGAACCAAGGCAGGGCTGGTGGCTGGGGCTGGACAGGCTTTTTAAAGCCTTTGAGAGGATTCACCAGAATGGGAGTTTGACAAGTGTGGCCAGCCTAGCGTAGCAGTCATGTGCTTCCTGTTACCCATTACCAGGAACTTCCTAGTCAAGTCAACAAGCATTAATTAAATGCCTACCATGTGCCGAGTCCTCGTAGTGTTGGAGAGAGCCAAAGGGATTGTTCGATTGCGCTTGCTCTCTCTTTCTCTCTCTCCCTCTCTCTCTCTCTCTCTCTCTCTCTCCCTCCCTCCTGATGATTGTGCTGACTCACTATTCATCGAGGCCACCCCTTCCCCACCCCTGCTAAACTTTTACATTTCCAGGCTTGCGTGTGGGCGGGCTGAGTAGAGGGGGGGGTTGTTTCCATTCCTTTAGCTCACAGTGACTGGTCCAGTGGCTCTGTGCTGGGGGAGGGGGAGGCCCCCACACACCTTGACATGCCACATGTACCAGGGCAGCCCCTGGTGGTCATCCTGCTGGCCAGGGAGTACTTCCTTTCCTTGCTTTAAACAGGAAATTTGTAAGGGGAAAGTTTTCATTTTAGGGGAAAAAGACCAAGTTTCCCTAATCTCTTTTTTGACTTTACTGCCTGCTCAGATCTGGCTCATTGGCCCCACTTGGCCGTGAGCAGTTTGGGAAAAGCTAAAGGTTTGTATTCCCTTCTTTTGGAGGCTCCATCTGCTTGTCTGTTTTGCATTAGTCATCATTTGCTGAGCATCCTGGCCATGACAGAACATTTGTGTGGAGCTTCCAGAGCCGGCCCTGGCCTCAACATCCCTCGGGCCGGTCTCTGCACTCCCCAGCAGGTAGGAAGGGTGTAAGGCCTGACACCAGCAGACCGGCCTACCCTGGTGCCTTCTTTCCTTTTTTCTGATGGAGTTAATTTGCCCTAACTAGGACAGAAGACTTGGAGCTTCCGTTGGGACTTGGGCTCAGAATCAGACAGACCAGCAGGGAGCACCCCTGGCCCTTGATGAGGACAGCCGGCATCTCCCAGGGTCAGGGGTGTCCATTATCAGGGCCAGGAGAGGCAAGACCCAAGTCACCTTCATAGAAAAGCTTCCTAAAATGAGAGCCCTGATTCTCACTTGGGCTTGAAAGTAGCTGACTATGGTATTTGTCAGTAATGTTCAACAAAAACTCCCCAAAGCACAGTGTTTTCCCCCTGGAAATTGGAGCTGCTATGGAAAATCCAAGCTGTGAGAGAAACCCCAGAGCTGTGATTAATCCTCTGTTCCGCTCGCCTCCCCTCTGTGGCCAGCCCTTTACAGACTATGGCAGTGAGGCCTCTGATAGAGGAAAGCAATTTATCCGAGCTCAGCCAAGGTTTGGCCTCCCAGCTTTTGTTGTGTAGATGGACCCAGGCTGTCCCAAGGACTGATGTAACCACCTGTCCCCAAGCAGAGCCTTCTGAGCCGGAGGTGGCAGGGGCTTTGTGCCCACAGGGCATCTCCTCTCCTGCCACGTGTTTCAGTAGCAGATGCAGCCAGCAGGACCCCATTCCAGGGTCATTGTGCACCTGGTTGCATCTCCTTAGCAACTGGGGAGATCCTTGAATGGGACAGAGTGCTGAATCTGGAGGCAGGAAGACCTGAATGCCAATCCAGCCTCAGACATTTACTAGCTGTGTGACCCTGGGCTAGTCACTTAACCTCTGTCTTCCTCAGTCTCCTCATCTGTAAAATGGGACTAATAGCACCTACTTCTTAGGGTTGTTGTGAGGATCAAATTTTTATTATTAGCACAGTGCCCGGCACATGGTAGGTGCTTAATAAACGCTTGTTTCCTTCTTTCCTATGCCCCAGACTATGGGAACCCCCACCCCAAGGGCTGAAGTCAGGTCTTTCCACTGGTTCAGCATTTGTTTGGGGGCCCTCAGCAGGTTGTTGCCCACAGGGATCATTCCTGGGGCTGATAACATACGAGAGTGATATTTATCCACAACCGAAGTGAAGGAATTGAGGGTGGACTCGGGAGGTTTGGAGAATCCCTTCAACTACTCAAGCATTTATTAAATGCTTACGACATGCCAAGTACTGTGCTAAGCCCCAGGTGTACAGATACACCGAAGAAACTATCCCTGCTCTCAAGAAGCTTGAAAAGATGCCAGGACCGTGAACAGAAACAGCGAGGAGGAAGAGGGTGAGCTCCTGAAGGCCACCACCACCAGGGCCCTTCCCGGGCCTGTCTATGGCACAGACACATTTGATGGGAGAAACAGTAAGAGCGTGTGAGATCTTCACTAGTTTAACATGAGGAGGTGGGTACACTAGCGGAAAAGGCCTGTAGAAGTAGCCGTTTGATGGGAGATGGCGTTCTATGAGGCTGCCATGTTACCTGGGACTGCCAGCACCTCTGAATGCAGGAGCAGAATTTGGACTGATCGCGATAGCCGATAAGGCGCTGAGGACTCCAGAATGGAGACTCGTCACCCCGATGGATCTTTTTGGATTCGAAACATCATCGTCATCAACAAAAACAGGCATTCAAGGATCTGCTGAGTGCGGGGCACTGTGCTACGGATACAAAGAAAGGCAAAAGACAGCTCCCGGTCTGATGTGGGGAGGGAGACTGCATATAAGTGATTGTGTACACACAAGATGCAAATAGTGTAGGTGGGAGGTCATCTCAGAGGAGATGCTGGGATGGGGTGTTGGGTCAGGGTGGGGAGGGCATGAAACGATTCTTATAGAAGAGGAAATTTAAGCTTAAGACTGGCCTCAGGCACTTGCTAGCTGTGTGACCCTGGGCAAGTCACTTCACCCTGTTTGCCTCGTTTCCTCATCTGGCAAATGAGCTGGAGAAGGAAATGGCAAAGTATTCCAGTATCTCTGCCAAGAAACCCCCGAGGAGTTGTACTTGACTGAAACAACTGAACCACAACAGCAGATTCTAGGCACGGGAGGTAGCCAGGAAATGGAAGGGCCCGGGCCCCTGGATCACAGAGTGTGCAGAGGGCAGTAAAGCATAGGAGGGAGAAGGTAGGCTGCAGAGGGTTTTGAATGCCGGGCAGAGGATTTTCCAGTTGATCCTGGCAGTGATGAGTCCTAGGGACCCGCACTTTGGGGAGATGACACCGGCAGCTTGTGGAGGCTGCATGGGAGCCGGAGACAGTAGGGGCAGGAGGGAGGGAAGGAGGGCCTGCGCCAGTGGAGAGAGGGGGGCCTGCCTGGAGAGTGTGCGTGGAGCGTAGAGGTGCACACATCCTCTTCCTGTCGTGTGGCAAGCCTGGGGGACAGGCAGGTGGAGGGGCTTCCACAGGAATAGAGGAGGGAGCTCAGGGGGCAAAGGGAGACCTGAGAAAAAGCGGCTGTTGGCTTCAGAAGAGTGACCGGGCTTTCCTCGCTCTCTATCACTCTCCCATGAGCTTGGGTTCTGCAGCTGTGTCTTAACGGTGCTCTCTGTGAGGGTCATCTCGAGGGGCCGCACGCAGAGGCAGGTCTTGGGAAGGTGCGGTCGCCCCTTTGCCCTTGAGCCAAATCTCCTCTTGTCCCACTCCTGTACCCCTGGTGCTAGAGCTCTTTCCCCTCTGCTCTGGGTGTTTCAGGAAGGCGAGAATAATGACAAATTCTTCACTCACCCCAAGAACGCCCAGGGCCTGGCTGCCTACCTCTTTGTCCACAACCACGTGTTCTACCTGATGGAGCTGACCACAGCTTTGCTCCTACTGCTGCTCTCCCTGTGCGAGGCTCCCGCCGTCCCCGCTCTTCGGCTTGGCATTTACGTGAGTGCCCTAGGTCGTTCTGGGAGAGACCCTAGAACTGGGCCCCACCAGGGGTGGGGAAAGGATTTCTTTCACCTTCCAGAGTACAGAAAGGTATGAAAAGAACAAGAGAATGAATGGCCAATGAGAGGAAGCTTATTCTAAATTCTCCGAACCCCATGCCTACCTCACGCATGGGGAATGATACCCATCACCCCTTTTGGGTAGATGTCCAGAGGGTTTATTGCTAAGGAGAGGCCACAGCTTAAGGGGGATCAGGACTGGTGCCCAGCCATTGCTCCATCAGCCCCGTGTGTCCCTGTTCATACCTGATGCCAGCCTGGACCTTGTCTAGTTGGAAAGCCCTTCTGACTTAGGGCTCAGAACTAGCTCCCTATCCTGCCCAAGTGAGGGAAACGAAAGGGGTGACCGAATGCCTACAATAACACGGTCGTCCAGCTGTTGTATCATTTCCCGAGGGACGAATGGGAACGTTAGGGAGATACTGCATTTGCTTTCAGAATAATAAGGTTACCCCAGGGACTCTCCCTGTTACCCTGCCCCGTGGTGTCCCGTAGATGCAGGTATGAAATCTCTTGGGATCTCAAACACCCGTGGGCAGTGTACCAGTGTTCTTTCAGGTTGTTAGGCAATTCTTATTTTCCCCAATCCATTCTTACTCCCTTTTGAAGAAAAGTTGTTTAACCAATGCATCCTTAGCTTAGTCATAGTATCATGGAGCCCAGTGTCTTTCCCAGAAATAGTGAGTTTGTGTTTAGCTGGGATGAGAAGACCCCCATCACCTAGACCATCCCTGGGGGAACCTGAAGCCGGGTTTCCGAATCAGAGGACTTGGAGCTGGAGGAAAAAGACCAGGGATTGTCTAATCAACCCCCCTCAATTTAAAAATCAAGAGGCTGAGGCCCAGAAAAGTGAGAATCATTGCCGAATTGCACACAAGTAGGATAACAGAGGCAAGATTTGAACTGGTCCTCCTAACTCCAATACCATAGTTCCCTCCACACACTGGCCCCCAGCCTGGGGTTGCTATGACTCCAGGCACTTGGCCACTTCTGCCCAGATCCTCGGCTTGGGTGCGAGAGGGAGGTTGATGGAGCCCCTCGTCATACCCTTTGGGGGTATTACAGGTGCATGCGACCCTGGAGCTGTTTGCCCTGATGGTGGTGGTCTTTGAGCTGTGCATGAAGATGCGATGGCTGGGCTTCCACACCTTCATCCGGCATAAACGCACCATGGTCAAGGTAATGCTTCTGGCAAGCACCCCCTCCCCAATTTTATGGTTGAGTAAATGGAGGCCCTCTGAGGGCAAGTGACTTGCCCAAGGTGACCCAGCAATAAGGGGCAGAGCTGGGACTGAAGTCTAGGCTCCCAGGTCCAAATCCAGGCCTTTTCTACAAGGCCACATACAGAATGCGCACTGGAGCAGGTAGAGGTGGAGGCTGGGGGGAAAGGTCAGAAGACTCTTTCAGTAGCTTAGGTGAGAGATGGGGAGGGCCTGATCTCAGGTGGCAGTAATGGGAGTAGAAAGGAAGAGAGAAAGATTGTAAAGGGAAAGATCGATAGCCTGAGAGGGTGATGGGAAGTCTGATGACTCTGGGATTTTGAGCCTGGGTGACTTGGAAAATGGGTATGCTTTTATTTATTTACTTTGTGGGGAGGGCAGTCGGGGTGAAGTGACCTGCCCAGGATCACACAGCTAGAAAGTGTTTGAGGCCAGATTTGAACTCAGGTCCTCCTGATTCCAGGCTGGTACCCTATATATCCATTGCTCCACCTCTCTGCCCCATGGGCATGCTCTTAGCAGAAACAGTGAAGGAAAGGGCTTTGGCAGAACGTGATGAGGTTCTGGAGACAGTGCCCACATGCTCTTCTCCATGCCCTCTCTAGGCCTATGATAGCCTGAGCTGAAAGGAAATCAGGGTTGCTTCCCAGGTTTTGAGATATTTGCAGTCTAGTTGGGGTGATATAAGTCATGTGAGATAGTACATGAGACCATACCAGAATGAGTGGTAAAGACCAGCAATGTTGGAGGAATTCAGAGATGGGCAGTGAGTGGGCCAGGGAAAGAACACCGGATTTGGTCGTAAGATCTAGGCTTAAAGCCCAGACATGTCCCTTTGTGCTGTGTGACCTTGGGTAAGATGTTCAGCCTTTCTGGGCCTTATTTGTAACATGTCAGCCTTAAAGCCCCGGAAGAGCAGGTGTGCCTTCATCCCTTTGGGCAGGGGCAGTCAGGGAGGGCTTCGTGAAGGAAGGCTGGATGAGCAGGCCTCCAAGGATGTCTCGGATTTGGACAGCCCTCCCAGAGTCCCATTTCAAGAGCCCCCCACAACTCCTGTCCATGCCCTTGGCTGTTCAAGTGATGAGGCTTGGCACGGGGAGATAAGATTTTCCCTGTACTGCCCCCACCCCTACCTGCCTCCTTGTTCCCTTGTTCTTCGGGCAGCTCTGGGTCTCTGGCTTTGGAGCAGCTGTGCCGGGGAAAGGGCCCATGAGTCAGCAGGGTTTGTTAAGAAGGCCTTGGGCCTCCCATAACATGGTTAGATGGACCAGCTTCCCTGGGCCTCCCTCCCCTGCAGACGGTGGTGCTCGTGGTCCAGTTTGTCGAAGCCATCGTGGTGCTGGTTCGTCAGACGTCACACGTGCGGGTGACCCGGGCCCTGCGCTGCATCTTCTTGGTGGACTGTCGATACTGCGGTGCTGTCCGTCGGTGAGGAGGAGGCAAAGCGGGTGGGGGGGGGGGGCTGTGGTGTCAGGCATGCTTCAGTTAGACCCCGGGCTCCTGGGCCTTTGAAGCGGGACCCTCTGTGCAGTGAGCAGGGATGTTTGCCTTTCATGGAGTTGTCCCAGGCTGCCACCTTCCCTGAAAGGAATCAGCTGCCAAAGCACATCACGGTGTCCTTGGCCAGGAACCCCCAGAGCATCTGTGTAATGGGATTCAGGCGGGCTGGCAAGGTCACCAAGACTCAGATTAATGTGTGCAATGTTTGGCATTTTTGCCTCCATGTTGCTGATGTCAGAGGGTCATCGATTTAGCCTTGGGAGTGGTCCAGACCCTCTCTGTTCTCTTGGCTACATAGATCTTCTTTGGATACGGGTCATATTGGGAACAGTAGAAATAGGGGCAGGGGACTAACTAGCAGCAGGGGACCTAGTAAAATCTGCTTTGTGCCCTTCTCTGCGAGCCGAGAAGTAAAGGTTCTAAAAGCAGACGGGCCATGCGATCTCTCCCGCTCCCGTCATCTCCCACCAGGGATAGCCGAGGCCGGCGCTCCGTGGCTCGCTTCTCAGTCTGCCTTCCCTTGGCCCTTATCCCCCAGTGATCCGCCATGCGACGAGTCCTCTGGCCATTACGGCAAAGAGATGTGACCTCGGGGGTGGGGCGGTCAGTTACTCTGCGCTCTTCTCCAAGACTTCAGCCGCTCCTCCCCGAGCCAGGTCCAGAGGGTCTCATGGGGGAAATAGAATAAATACACACACCCTGGGGTGGTTCATGGTTTACAGAACATTTACTTGCATTCTCTTATTTGACCTCCGAGTTTGGCCGTAGAGCTTTTAAGATGCCCATTTTAAAGATGTGGAAAACAGGCTAAGTGGTTGGTGATCTAGGATTGGAGTTCAGGACTTCCGAAGCCAAAGCCACCCCTCTCTCGGGTGCGCCCAGCTCCCACCTCAGGTCCTAGCGTGTGACCCAGCCCCATTGTTTCTTTCCTGCCAGCAACCTGCGGCAGATCTTCCAGTCTCTGCCTCCCTTCATCGACATCCTCCTGCTCCTGCTCTTCTTCATGGCGATCTTTGCCGTCCTGGGTGAGTTCCCTCTGTCTCCTGGTCACCTCTGAAGGCCCGTGGTTCTGCCTTCATGCTAAGTCGTGGTCCTGATTCAGGGTTTGTCTTGCACCTGCTTCACCTGCTGAGGGTGCCCCTCTGGACTCAGGCTTAGCATAGGATAGTGCTCATGTTAGACACCGGGTAGAACAGAGGGGCCCGGGAGGGTGGACGTGACCAGTAATGGGGCTGGGAATAAGCCCTGAGGGCCTTGGCTCCTGGGCCTGGCCTTGGTTCCCCCACGCTGGTTGCCTGGCTTCTCTCTCCCGGGTATGGAAAGCTCCTGGTCCATCCTCTTGTCCACTCGCCTTCCCTCTATACGATTATTGAACTTGGCTCAGGCTTCCTCAAGAAAAAATACTGAGGGGCCGAGAGAGCTGGCCCTTTCCCATCCCATCGCTGTCCGAGCCGGGCCTTCTGGATCATGGGGAGTAGGAAGGAGAGGATCAGAGAGGTGCAAATGCCCGGGAGGGGCTGCGGGCCAGCCCTCGGCTCCCCGAGCGGGCTCCTTTGGGCTCCTCACTGGCTGCCAGACCAGCTAAGCCCTCTTTGTGTGTTGTTTCTTCCATCTCCTAGGATTTTATCTGTTCTCCCCAAATCCCTCGGACCCGGTAAGTAATCAACAGATTTGAATCTGTTCTTCTCAGAATCTCTGCCCTCAGCAACGGCAGCCGGGTGGTCATGGTCACTTGTTAGCTTGTGTCCGAGGAGCCAGAGTGTCGCTGGCGCTTAATCGCTCAGTCCACAAGCATTTATTCAGTCTAAACTGTGTGCCAGGCACTGTGCAGGGCATGTAAGGATACATGGCCTGCCCTCCAGGAACTTAGACTTTAGTAGAAACAAGTACATATGTAAGTATGTGCAGAGTGAATACAAAGAGCATATATAAAAGTAGTTAAGTTAGGCTTTTTTTTTTTTGTAGTTCCAGGCCCAGAGAGGTACCCTTTCTTACTTGGAGATCCAGAGTGTAGAGTAGGGTAGAGAGCCGTGGAGAGTTTCCCAGCCTCTGACCGAGGAGAGTCTGCCCCGGGGATGCCAGTAGCCTCAGCATGGCCAGGAGGGCTAGGAGTAAATGCCCGCCTGGCCCAGAAGCCTGGGTTCCCACTTCAGCCCCCCTGGGGTGGGGGTGTGAGGGACAAGGCAGGTGTGAGCGTGCAGGCAGCGAGAGGAGGGGGCTCCCAGCCCCTTGATCTTTGGTCACATTGTCCTGGCTCACGGGCCTCCCCCTTAGTCCTCTTCCCTCCTTCGCAGTACTTCAGCACCTTGGAGAACAGCATCGTTAGCCTCTTCGTCCTGCTCACCACCGCTAAGTAAGCAGTTTGGGCTGGGTGGGCCCCCAGACAGCCAACCAAACTCACGTAGGGAGCATCTCCGTGTTTGGCGCTCAGCTTCCTTCCCCGAAAACCTCCTGGGTTACTCAGTCCGAGCTCCTCGCTTCCTTTCCTGAGAAATGGAGGGGCTTAGCGACAGTTCTCGCAGTCTTTTGGCGCTGTGGGTGCAGACTTCCTGCCTATGCAGCGTCCTCACAGTGGCAAGTGGAGGGTGGCCCGGGTATGGAATAAGTCAAGATTTTACCGATGCCCTTGCTGGGGAGGCAGTGCAGGACCCTGGCGTTCATTAGGAAGGTGCCCCCACTGTATGGGAGTGCCGGAGAGTCTGTTGGGTGTCGGCACCCTAAGAATTAGAGGGTGATGTTCCTGGGACCCCTCTCTGAAGGTGTCCAGGCTCTAACTCGGCCTGACACACCCACCCCAGAAGTGAGGGTGGCAGGCGTTTCCCCTGCGAGGAGTAGCCAGGATTCTGAGAAGCAGAGCCGTGAAGCCCTGGGAGTTTCTGGCTCCCTGTGTCCCTGCCGCAGCTGGAATCTGGCAGAGGGCCCCGTCAGCCATCGCTCTGCTCCTTTGGGCAAAACTTCATCTGCTCCCAGGGAGGGGGAGGGAGAGTAGCGAGAAGCAGACGGGACTGGAGGAGCTGTCCTTGGGGGAAGGGCAACAGGCCCCGCCGCCCCTACTGCCCACGTTCTCCTAAAGGGAGGCCCGGCCCAGCCAGACTCGAGGCCGGGTTGCTTAGGACAGAGCCCCAGAGGGATGGGCTGACACACTCTGCCTCTGTTGGGTACAGCTTCCCAGATGTCATGATGCCCTCGTACTCCCGGAACCCCTGGTCCTGCATCTTCTTCATTGTGTACCTCTCCATTGAGCTCTACTTCATCATGAACTTGGTGAGTGGGCTGCGAGGCATCCCCAACCATCCCTTCACCAGCCTTGTACTAGGCCAGAGGCTCAGGGTCAGGGAGGCAGGTGAGAGGGGGTGAGGGTTACAAAAGTGTCAGGTGTGGACCCCCGCTTCCACACTCAGCGGGATCTGAAAGACCAACTAGTCCCACCTCTCAGAGTACAGAGGAGGAAACCGAGGCACAGAACAGGGCAGGGACTTGCTCATGGCTACAGTGGTAACAGAGTGAGGATCTGAGGATCGGACCCTGGTTCAGTTTGGTGCCCTGCCCTCTGTAGCTGATTTATGTGCAGTGTGGCTGGCAGTACAAGGCCATTTAGAATTAAGTATGAAGTTGTGTGGGGTGGAAAAGTTAGCCATGGTGGGCTTGCCTATGACAGGAATGTTACCAATTCCATTCAGCAAACACTGATTACAAATCTATGTGGAAAATCCTGAGAAAGGAATGTAAAAGTGTAGTAGCTTCCGCCCTCAAGGATCTTGCACCCCTACACATATGTATGCACACATACACAGACGTGTGCATGTACACATACACAGACATGTGCATATACACATACACAGACGTGTACATGTACACATACACAGTAAACCCAAGATAATTTGAGGAAGGAGGGAACACCAAGTTGGCACCATCAGTTACTTTTCCATGGAAGTTGGGCCTGACTTGGCCACCATACCTTGAAGACAGGGATGGTTTCTGGGAGGCAGAAGTGTGGAGGGAGTCCAGGCAGGTGCAGTGGCTGGATGGTCTTGGTGCCTGCACTGAGGCTGGAGAAGGAAAACTGTTCTGGAGCAGGGCTGGAGGTCAGTGTGGTGGCTGGAGAAGCATGAGATGAAGCTTTGGGACTCAAGCTCTCCGGGTGGGTGGAGCAAGATTGTGAAGGATCTGAACTGTCAAACAGAACTTAAGAGTCTGTGTCTGATACTGGAGACAGTGGGGAGCCCCTGAAAGCTTTGGAGCAGGGGAGGACCCAGTCAGGGGTGGGGTTTGGTTTTTTTTTGTTTTTGTTTTTGGGTTTTTTTTGTTTTTGTTTTTGGTTTTTTTTTTTTTTTTGTGGCAACTCTGGTTGCTGGATGGTTGGGGACCAAGCCTGACAGGAGGGAACAAGAATCGACTGAGAGGACTTTCATGTGTGCAGGGGAGAGGTGATGAGGTCTTGGACTAGAGTAGGTGTGGTGTGAGGGGAGAGAGGGGCTGGAATAGATGAGACGAGGAAACTGGCCGCATGTAGTGAGAGAGAGGACTCAAGAGACTGGGTCTGTGGTGGGGACAGTTACAAAGTAGTAGTACTACTGCTTTATATAGCTAATAATGATATAGCAGTCAGTCCCATGCTTTAGAACAACAAAGCCAATGTAGAGAAAATATAGGCAGTGTGTCCTTAAGGAGATGGATAAGCAAATGTGGGAACTGTCAAGTCTCCCAAAGCTGAAGCAGGGAAGATGAGGTGAGACCTTGGAAAGGACTTCCCATTGGCAAGACCAGGAGACCGTGGAGCAGGGAACCCAGAGAGCCTGGGAGAGCTCCTGACTGTGGAGACAGTTGAGCCCAGCATCAGCGGGTACCTCAAGGGTGATTCGTGAGGAGTCTGTAGAAGGATGGGTAAGGTGTCCCTCCCCCAGCTTAGGGCTCCAGGCTTTGAGGCCTTGTTTGTTTGTTTGTTTTTCTTTTTTCTTTCTCTTTTTTTTTGTGAGGGAGTTGGGGTTAAGTGACTTGCCCAGGGTCATACAGCTAGTAAATGTCAAGTGTCTATTCTGAGACCAGATTTGAACTCAGGTCCTCCTGACTCCAGGGCTGGTACGCTATCCACTGTGCCACCTAGCTGCCCCTATGTTTGTTTGTTTTTCGAGAAGTGGCAAGACTCTTACTTAGCTGGAGTGCCTCAGTTTCCTTATTTGTAAAAAAGGGATATTAATATTTGCATTACCTGCTTCACCACAGGAGAAACCTGTTTGTAAAGTTGAAAATGCCCATGTCTGTGCATTGTTGTTCCCTCGCAGCTCCTGGCTGTCGTGTTCGACACGTTCAACGACATTGAGAAGCGCAAATTCAAGTCATTATTGCTTCACAAGCGTACAGCCATCCAGCACGCCTACGGCCTGCTCGTCAGTCAGCGGGTACGGGAGAGCAAGGAAGCCATCTCACACACGGACACATGCACGCGCAGACATGTGGCCACCCACACGGACATAAACACACACAAATACAGACACAGACACATAGACACATGGGTACACACAAACACAGACACGTGACACAGACATATGAACCCACACAAACAAGTCCAGTGGTTGAGCTCAGAGGAATGAGAGAGTGGGTGCTGTGTGTCCCCAGGCAGTATTTACCATACACGGTTCCTGCCTCCCTACAGGGAAGGACATTACAGGGTCAGGTTATGAAAGAAACCACAGGAAAGGACCTAGAACCATCTCTCTCACCCTCATTTTAGAGAGGATAGTCGGAAGGACTGACTTGCCTGTCCTCACAGTCTCGACATAGAGACCTACACATGCATACAGACCTAGTCACTGGCAAACCCAGGTTTCTTGCCTGAGCAGCCCTGGAGAGAGGGGGTTTCTGTGTCCACACATGCATCCCTTGTCCTCCTTCTCTCTGCCCTCTCCAGAGGCCCTCAGGGATCTCCTTCCGGCAGTTTGAAGGCCTGATGCGGTTTTACAAGCCCCGGATGGGGGCTCGGGAGCGCTATCTCACCTTCAAAGCCCTGAATCAAAGCAATACACCTCTACTCAGGTAGGACTTTACCTATTGGAGCCTTGGGTGGAAGAAATGAAAGGGGTAGTAGATGGGAGGACGCATGGGGGCGATAAAGAGACAGTGTGGTTCAATGGGAAGAGGCCTGGTGGCCTGGGCCTACACCCTGGCTTGGCCGCTTCATAGCTGACCGTGTCCAACCTGGGTGTCCTTCGGCAAGTCACTTAGCCTGTCTGTACCTGTTTCTCTATTTGTAAAATGAAAAGGTTGCACTATGCGGTCTTTAAGGTCCCCCTAGCTCTAGAGCCCTGAGTGAATGACCAAGAAGAGTCTGGTGGGAGGCGTCCCTTCCCAGAGAAGCTTTCTGATTGCTTTTCAGTGTAGCCTCCGAAACGTGCCCCTCAGGACTTGAATTAACAGGAGGCTCCTGTAGACCCAACTAAAAGCCTGAAAAGGCCCATGGCCCAGGAGAGGAGGCTGCGGGCCACACTGGGCATTCCTGGGGCTGGGGGCTGTCAGTGTCCTGCTTCTGTCCCTACTGTTTAGGTGGTCCCAGGGGGTTGTTTACATTGTCCCTAAAGAACAGAATGACTAAGGAGCCTCTGACCTGGCCAAGACCTGCCTCTGTACGTTATCCCTCGAGGATGAGGATACAGGCCCCACTGGGTCGAGTAAAGAGTTGCTTTGAGATCCAGACCCATTCCCTGGCCCTAGGACGCAAGTCATCCATTGGCGCTGCTGCAGGGGCGTCAGAGCTTGGGGTCATGGCTCCGCTGTCTCAAGGAATGACCCTTAGGGGCGAATGAGCAGAGCCAAAGGCCTAGGGCTTGGGAGCCTTCCGCTTTCTCAAGGATGCTGAGGAGGAGGCAGCCTAACGGAATAGAGCATTGAGTTTGGAGCTGGCAGACCTGGGTTCGAATCCCAGTCCTGCCCCAGAGTTACCCGTGTGGCCTTGGCCAAGGTACCTTCTCTTCCTTTGGCCTCAGTCTTTGCCACTATCAGATGAAGGGACTACACCTGGATGACCTCAGAGGTCCCTTCCAGCTCCTAATCAGGGATCTCGTCATGTGTCCCTGCCCCGCATTTTGAGGGAGCCTCCATTGTCCTCGCCCAGGCTTGCTTGGGCCTCTCCCATGTAGCTCTGAAGCTTTTCCTCCAGAGGTGGGAAAAGTGGACGGGCTGGGAGCTGGGAAGTCCGTGGAGCTTGGGGTGACTTGCCTCCTCTCCCCACTTTTCCCCTGACAGCCTGAAGGATTTTTACGGTATCTATGAAGTTGTTGCCTTGAAGTGGAAGGTGAGTGTCCTTGGGAGAAGGCTGTGCGGGGGAGCAGGGGGCTGGAGCAGGTGGGGGAGACTCAGGAGCTGTAGGACTTTACCCACGAGAGCTGGCTTTGGCTCATGGGCCCTCACTGCAGCAGGCAGGCACCACTGCCTTTTGTGGCCCCACACAAGGGGACTTATTGAAGCCAGATGCCCAAGGGTCAGTCACTCAGCAAGTTAAATGGGGAGAGGGAGGTGGGAGGAAGGAAGGGAGGGAGTGAGGAAGGGAGGAAGAGGTAGGAAAGAAGGGAGAGGGAGGAAGGAGAAGGGAGGAAGGAAGGGGAGGGAGGGAGGACAAGAGGAAGAGGAAGGAAGAAAGGAAGGAAGAGAGGGAGGGAGGGAGGAAGAGGAAGGAAGAAAGGAAGGAAGAGAGGGAGGGAGGACAGGAGGAAGAGGAAGGAAGAAAGGGGAGGGAGGAAGAGGAAGGAAGAGAGGGAGGGAGGGAGGAAGGAAGAAAGGAAGAAAGAGAGGGAGGGGGAAAGAAGGGGGAAGGAGAGAAGGAGGAAGGGAAGAAAGGAAGGAAAAAAGCAGAGTGACTTTGCAGGAGCTTTGCAGGGTAGTGCAAGTTGTGGGCTCCAGCCTCCTTTCTTCTGTCTCTTTTCTGGAACAGGCGAAACGCAATAAAGAGCACTGGTTTGATGAGCTCCCCCGCACAGCCTTCGTCATTTTCAAAGGTAAATTCCTCCATGTACACAATACTCCTAACCGTGTAAACAGAAGGGAAAAAACCTAACCAAAGTGAATGCTGTGTCATTCTGACGGCCTTCTCTGTGAGATGTTGTGTGTCATAGGTGCTTGACAGGTTCGTTGGTTTGAATGAACTGCTTTTTGCTCTCTTAAAATCTTTGTACAAAGGATGACTCTTGGTTAGGGGAATGCTTGGAAATGGGGATGATTTGAAAATAGATCAATAGAAAGGGGGATTTGGGTTTTTGTTTTGTTTTTTAAAAAGGTAAATGTCTATTATGGAGTCAGTGGAGGCTCTTGGCTGGCCATTATCTGAGAAGCAGAGTGGAGGCTGCTGGGCCTGACCTCCAGGGGCAGGGGCCCCTGCATTTGTTGGGCCTTCTTGGCCTGTGTGTTACTATTTGTGTATGACAAAGGGAAGACCAGAAGACAATGAATTGGTGGATCTTTAATGGAGACAGCACACATTCTCCCCTCTGTTCTACCCTTGAATTGGCCTAGAAGGAAACATTGATTTACTAAGTACCTACTGTGAACTCTGTGGCAGGTTCTGTGTCTGGCCAAGAACCATTCATTCATTCATTCATTTATGTTTACATTTAATTTTTATTTTTTTCTCAATTACACATAAACAAAAAATTTTAATATTTATTTTTTAAAATTTTGAGTTCCAAATTCTCTCCCTTCTTCCCTCCTTGAGAAGGCAAGCAATTTGATACAGATTATACATCTGCAGTCATGCAAAACATTTCCATATTAGCCAGCAACATTTATTAAGTATCTACTGTGTACTTCCTGGCCAATCTGTGCGAGGCTAGGATCCAACAATGGGCGGGCCTTCAAGGAACTGACATTCTATGCACGTAATAGTTTTGCTTTTCAAGATATGGGTGGTCAGCTTGTGGGTGTGGTGAGCACAGAAGGGATTTCTCTGTAAAAAGTAATGTTCTGGCCCTGACATGTAAGGCTGACCCAGGCTTAGAGCTGACAAGAGCACAAGAAATTCTGTAGTCCAGAGCTAGTCAAAAGAGGCCCTGCCTCAAGGAGCTTACAGTCTATTAGGGAACAAAATGTATACCTACCCAAGTATATGCAGGGAGTTGGGGAAGGGGAGAACAGGAAAGGCTTAACAAACCAGAGGTGGGGGCAGAGGAAGGCATTCTGTGGAGTGAGCCACGGCCTAAGAAATCTTTGATGGATTATGATGATGAATGAGGCATGTGGCCCTTCTCTGGTGTCTCAAGTGGTCAGGGCTCTGGTGTGAGTGAGTGGTCTACTGCCCTTGGGGGTGGGGAATGGAGAACTCCTTGGGTATACTGTATGCTAGTGAGGTCGTGCAGACAGTCCATGGGCATTCTAGTGCTGACTTCTGCCTGTTCTACTGGGGCTCTGAGCAATGACCCAGGCCTTCCTCCAGGGGACTTTTGGCAGGGTGGTTCTTGTCATGTGGTCAGAGCAGGAACTTGGGCCAGTGATGGTATGTGAAGCCAGCTGGGAACTCGGTGCCTGGGGAAGTGCCGTGGTGTTTGGGGCCACTTTTTTTGTCTCTGGATGATGATGATCAAGTCTGTAAGCCACTAAGAGTGGGGGAAATAGGGAAGATTCATGGAGGTGATGGTCAAGACCCTCTGGGCCCCAACACCAATTATAAAGCTCCAGACAGCACCTCCAGAGTAAGCCCTTTCCATCTCCGCCTCCGGTCTTACTATTTCCCTGTAGGAGGATGGCTACCTAAGGAAGGACAGACCTAGGGGAAGAGTGGACACTGTATTTTAATAGGAAACCGCTTTGACTTAATAGTTCTCCTTTTCCATTAGGCATTAATATCCTAGTGAAGTCCAAAGGCTTCCAGTATTTCATGTGTAAGTATCGACTGGACACGCAGCAGGATTTCCTGCTGAATTACTTTCCTCTCCAAGGGGGTCGCAGGGGAACGGCAGCACACGGGCCTGCTTGTGGTTCGTGGTCCGATGGTTATTGATGCACTGGACCTCCTGGACCAAAGTCACTAATGTTTTGCCCGTGATTTGTGCCCCTTCTATGAGATCTGCCCTTTCCATCGACCTGGAGATGCTCCAGAACCTTAAGCCAGGTTGAGAGCCGAATGTCCTTCCTACACACAGGACATTTCAGAAGGGAGCAGCAGGCTACAGATGAACACCTCCGTGGTGAACTGAGCTGACATATTAGAAACAGTGCCTGGGAAATGATAGTACAGCGGTGGGTGGGTGGGTATGTGGGTATGACAGTGTGGCTGTTGGCATTCCCTGGGACTGCTCCGCTGAGTCTCAAGGGAATGCACCAGGGCGCTTCATCTGGGACCTGAAGTAGAGCAAATAAATTTGTGCCCCCACTATGGGCCTGCCTTTGTTTCCAGACGTGGTGGTGGCTGTCAATGGGATATGGATCCTCGTGGAAACTTTCATGCTGAAAGGTCAGTACCAGCTGGGTGATTGGCCAAGGCCCAACCAGGGTCTGGCCTGATCCCTGAGGGCATCCCGTCTCTGCTTTGCAGGTGGAAACTTCTTCTCCAAAAACGTGCCCTGGAGTTACATCGTGTTCCTCACTAGTGAGTTGTCAGGGCCATGCGAAGCCAGGAAGGGCTTCCTGATGGTGGGGAGGGCTTTGGCTGCAATTAGAAGCCCATTCATCCTTCCCTAAGAGCAATGTTACCTCCTGGAAAAAGGAGGAAAAAGTCAGCTCCCTTCTGGGGTCTCGAGATAGCGGATGCTCCAAAAGGGGATGAGAGTCAAGCACATGAGCTCTGGTCCCCAATTTGCTCCTACCTAGCTGTGTGACCTTAGGCCATTCATTGCTGTTCTCTGGGCCTCGGTTTCCACTTTAAAAGGAAAGGGTTGGAATAGCTGGGTTTCAGAGTGCTTACATGCTATGATTCTGGGTGTCCGGGGAGCATCTGATTTTGCATTTTGCTCCTCTAGAAGGAGAGGTCTTGGTTCTCCCTGCGCTGAGAGGGGGGATAATACAGTGTGGAAGAGTACCAAAGCAACAGTGTAGTTTTAAAGAGTTTGGCCAGAGGTGGAGCCCTTTGTGACATGAAACATCAGAGAAAAAGCAAAGTCAGATTAGGATATTGGAGGGGAGAAGTGGGATACGCTGAAGAAAGATTCTCTCATCAGTGACAGATTCATCTAGGTCCCTTCCAACGCTGTAATTCTCTCTACAGTCTATGCAGTGGAACTGCTCCTGAAGACCACTGGCTTGGGGCCTGTGGAATATCTCACCTCTGGATGGAACCTGTAAGTGGGAGAGGAGGAGGGAAGGAGGTGGGGAAAAGGGGCTGGTGGAGGACAGCAACTCAGAGAGGCCCTTGCCTAGCCCTGCTGCTGCTGACTTTGCATGTGGCTCAGAACCTAGTACTGGCCGTCTTTCATAGGGTAGGATCCCAGAGTCCTTCATCTGACTAGGGGAGGTCTGGTAGCGTGGCTTCCCCAAGTCCCTGAGAGGACCCTCTACAGTCTCCCTTGGGGAGAAACTCCAAGCCAGGAGGATAGGGGAGACCTGGATCCTTCTCCCAGCATCACCTTCAGGTGCTCTAGGACCCAGAGCACGGCACTTCCCCGCTTGGCGCACCGCCTCTTTCACGGCATGCTTGAGAGCCGAGAGGAATGGTTGGGGGAGGAAGAAACCACTTCTGCTGTTTTTGAGGCCCAGAGAGCCCCAGTGTCCTAGGGTTTCTGGTCCTAATGGAAGCTTCCCAAGGGCCTCTTTTCACACCCCCATGGTTTCCAGCTTGGGGCCACTTACCAGCTGTGCTGTTACAGAAGCTGGCTGGCATGGGGTCAGTCTTCTCGGGGATCAGATGGGGTGCGAGGCGTCTAACCTTACCCGCGGCCAAGAAGGTTCCTTAGAACTTCCTCCCTCACAATCAGAGTGCCCTGCTTTTGCACAAACCAGATTTCACCTTCAGGATGTGCATGCCCTAAGTCCATGCTGTGACCAAATCAATTGTAGAAGCCACGAGGGCAGAGAATTTGGTGGGTGTCACCTCAGTGTCAGATACCCACCCTTGGGGCCGTCTGTGGTTGTTTGTGTGTGTGGCTGTTGTCCGGGGAGGCTCAGTCTGGGGTCCAGGAGTGGGGTGCAGGGGCCATTGCGTCTTCCCACCTCTTCTAGGTTCGACTTCTCTGTAACGGCGTTCGCCTTCCTGGGACTCCTGGCCTTGGCGTTCAACATGGAGCCATTCTATTTCATCGTGGTCCTACGCCCGCTCCAGCTCCTGAGGTGAAGGGGGACACTTTAGCCTGAGCTCCGGGAGGGGGGAGTGATACTTCCTGTCCCGAGGGATTCTTTTCCTGGAACGAGTGGCCCAGCGAAGAAGGCCTTGTGGTCACCCATTTCATGGAGTGACACGAGGAGATTGTCCTGGCCTCCATCATTCCCTTCTCTTGCCTTTCCTGCTGAGGCTTGGAGGCCAAGGCCAGAGTCCTCCTGTCCAGTCCCTGGTGTCACTTCTAGCACAGGAAAGCACTCTCAGCTCGGCTGACCTTGGAGATGGTGTCAGCTGCCATGAAAAAGACTCCCGGGCCTTCCTGCCACATGGCAGCTTTAAAACGAAGCAGAACTTTGGCCCGTTCTCAGAGACCTTCATGGGCCTCGAATCCTTTGGGTGTCAGGAAGCCCATGTTTTCCTCTGAATGATCACCCCTGAGACCCCAGTACTATCATCCTCCTTGCCTTCTGTCTTCCCCTACCCTGGGGGGCTGGTGCAGAGTTGTGGGACCCATATGTACATCCCTGTCCTCGTGCCTTAGTGTTTGGAGAAGAGGCTAGCCGTGAAGGAGAAACTAGCCCTCCATTCCATTTGGCAAATGCACCCTGATGCTCGCCAGCTGCCCGGCCCTGCCCTCACTGATGGAGGAGCCTTTCCAGATGGCAGATGTCCTAGTCCAGGGGTAGGGGACCTGCAGCCTCGAGGCCACCTATGGCCTTCCAGGTCCTCAGGTGTGGCCTTTGACTGAGTCTAAGTTTTACAGAACAAATCCTTTTATGAAGGGGCTTTGTTCTGTGAAGTTTGGATTCCGTCAGAGGGTCGCAGGTCCCCCACCCCTGTCCTAGTGGAGCTTGCAGGCAATAGACTAAGAAATGAGCCCCGGGGGAACATGCGGAGAGAGCTTCCACCTTGTTTTCATGACCCTTAACCCCTCTGCAGGCTTGGCTGCAGTTGAGAGCTCCCAGCACATGTTTGCAAGGAAGCCTCTTCTGCCACCTCTGTGTGGTCACGGGCATCCGCTTGCTTCTGCCTCCTGGGCCCACAAGGGTACTGTGAAGAAGAAGGAAGTTAAAGTCAGCACACATAGGGTTCTCCCTCTGTTTGAGGCGCTGTGCCTGTCCTAGGGTGACACACGGGTGAAAAGGAGCCCGGCCCTCGCCTCAAGATGTCTGCATCTGGTAGAGGTGTGAGATTGGGCTTCTCGTGGGCTCTGAGCCTCACTGATGGAGGCCTGCCTCCAGCCAACCTGGCCTGTTGCTGCTGTCATCCCTCTGTTACAGGGGTCATGGATAAAATACATGCATAGACGCTTAAAAGGAGTCAATTAGATTGAAATGCAGTTATCAAAATCTTAAAAGTTCCATGTTCATGCACCCACCCCCCCGAACAACCTCTGAACTATCCCCTTTGCCCTGGGAATTTCATGTGGTCAGGGCCTTGTGTGGCTGTCCTTTGAGTCTCCCAACAAGCCCAGCCTTTGAAGCAGGTAAGTTGTACTGAAGATGTGCTGTCCTCATCCCCTTCCTTACACAGATGAGGAAATGAGGGAGGTGGGTTAAACCGTAGTGACCTTTGGGAGAAAGAGGGCCCAGGCCATGTCCCTGTGGACTTGGAAAGGATTCATTCATGCTCTGCATCTCTTAGGTTGTTCAAACTGAAGAAGAGGTACCGGAATGTGCTGGATACCATGTTTGAGCTGCTCCCCCGCATGGCCAGGTACTGCCCCTCCCCTCTGTGCTCAGACCAAGGAGACAGGAGGAGAAGCGGGGGCAGGGGTGAGGGGGCCGGGCACCAACACCTATGAAGGCCTCAGGGTTTCTGGCTCTCAGTGAGCGGTGTCGTTGATCTCTCCATGTTCTCCCAGAAGGGGAAGGGGGCAGGAGGTGGGCTCCCTCTTGTCCATCACCAGTGAATCTCCATTCACAGGTGAGGGGATGTAATACAGCAAAGAGGCCACTGCTGTGGCATGCCTAATCTTAAAGTTATCTCTCACCCAGCACCTGGGTAACAGGCCCTCCCCCTGTCTTGGCCCCCCTGTAGCAGGATGTAGCAGGATGGGTCAGCAGCAGTCCAAGGTTGGTTCTTTCCAGTTCAGTGAGTAGGGAGCATGTGAAGGGTTCAACAAAGCTGGCCTTCCCTGCGTCTTCTCCAAATCACCCTGTGGCCTGTGTCCTTTCTCTCTCCCTTAGCCTGGGCCTCACCCTGCTCATTTTTTACTACTCCTTTGCCATTGTGGGCATGGAGTTCTTCTGTGGGATCCTGTACCCCAACTGCTGCAAGTGAGTATGTGGGGTTGCCCTGGCCATGGCAGAGGCTGTCACCCCATGGGCCCCAGGGGAAGTCCCCCTCCCTTGGAGGAAGCAAGCCTGAGCTGAAACTTGGGCTTGGAGCCTGTTTTCCATCAGTGCATCTTGGCCTCGAGGTCCCCCAGGACCTTAGCAGGCTCCTGTCAGAAGGGCCTGGGCCTGTGGGCCCCCCCCCCCCCCCACACAGCTGACACTTGCATGTCTGGGGATAGCCCAGGGTAGTTGGCTGGGTGATAGCAGGGAGCTGGAGCCAGGCCGGCGTCTCTCCTCGGCCCTCCTCGGTCTCCAGGCAGTTTCTTGGAGACCATTTCTGGGATTTCTCTGCCCGTTGCCCCTGCAGGCCACAGTGTTGGAGGTAGACTGGGCCCAGGGTTCTCCAGCCCCTGGGGCCTGAATGTTGCATGCCCTGGTGCCAGCCTGGCTTGGTACGGGTAATTGGCAGTCATAGGTCCTGGGGCCGAATGTTCTAGGACTCAGAACTGCAGGAAAGGGTTCAGGCCTCCTGAGAGATGCCATCTCTCTTGATCCTACCCCTCCTTTTCTTTCTCCTGTTGTAAAACCCATTGAATTTGCTCTTAGTGCTGTCAAAATGTTCTCTTCTGGGTTTGGAGTCTGTAACCTCGGCTTCTGCCGAAAGCGGCACAGCGATCCCTGAGAGGATCCAGCAGCCCTCCTGTAAAGGGTCTGATCCAGAGATAGCCGTGAGGGAGCAGGCAGGAGGGTGAGGCGAGTTCTTAGAGGCAGGCACAGAGCGGCAGAGATATCCATGGAGGGGATCTCCGCGTCACGGAGCTGTCCGCATCCCACGTGAGGAGGCGTGTTTGCCCTACAGGGAGCAGAGCTAAGAGCCCCCTTAGAGCAGGGAGCCGGAGAGGAGACGCCTCTTTCTCTTCTCCCCTTGTCAATTCCTTCTTCTGGTAGCTGAGAGAGGGACTGGGAAGGCGGAGTCATGGGAGCAGCTGAGACAGACTTTCGGGCTTGTTCATGACTCTGGAGGCTGCCCTTGGCGTCCGAGGCAGGTAGGTGAGAGCAGCCAGGGGTCCTCCTTGACACCGGGTGCAGGGATAAGAGGGAAAGGGCCCAGCAGCGAGAAGCGCTGAGCGACCGAGGACGTGGCTCGGCTGGCCGGCTTCAGGCTTTGCTCGAGAGAGCCAGCTCCAAGGTGGACCATGCTGGGGCCCCTTCCCCACCGGGCCCGCTGTTCTTGCTTCCCCATCCAGCACGAGCACAGTGGCTGACTCCTATCGGCAGATCAACCGCACGGTGGGCAATAAGACCAGCGTGGATGAGGGCTATTATTATCTCAACAACTTCGACAACATCCTGAACAGTTTTGGTGAGCTCAGAAATGACAGATGTGTGCCAGCCATGAGCCACACAGGCGGCTGCTGTGGGACCTGCCCCGGGTTCTCTCCTGGGTAGGCAGGGTCCATGTGCTAGGGCCAGGGGCTTCTCTTGGAAGAATAGGTAGAAGAGAGGCCCAGGAAGGCCTTGATGTGATGAGGATGGCGGGAGAATGAGGGCTGGAACACAGGGCTTGAGGACACTCGCAGGCCCTTGTCAGCCCTTGGCACCTTTCCTGTAGGAAGCCAGTCCTTATGGAAGAAAAGCACCCTTGGGCATTGGGAGAGCTCCCCCAGGGCCATCCCCGTGGCTCCGAATCCTGTCTCCGATTTCCTTCCTGGCCCTCCTGTGTTAAACTAGGCTTGTGCCCAGCCTGACTCTGCTCTGGGCTGGTGTGAGGAAGGCCCTGTGCTGTGGTAGGAACAGGAAAAACACCCCCTGAAACTGGAGCCAGTTTTTATTTTTGATGGAGGGGGCACAGTGATTTCACTTATGTGAGGGACTCCCCCCCCCCCCACCACCAGTGCAAACTGCTGTCAAGCCTCAGCAGGCTTCCTGGGGCACTTAGACATGGACTGATTGTCCAGTGTGTGTCCGAGGCTGGCTCTGTCCATGGAGCCGCCCCGCCTCAAGCCAAATGAGGCTTCCACATGAGTGCTCACATGCATGTTCTGTAGCGTGGAGCCCTAAGGCTGCCATCAAACTAGAGAGCCAAGGTGGGTAAGGTGGGGGGCTCACTCTGCCCGCTCTGCTATGTTGGTAGAGAAAGGCCTGAAAGGAAACAGGGACAGGAGGTGGCAAGAGGGGAGAGAGCTGAACTTGTAAAGGTGTGGGTCGACCCAGGATCTTTCCTTTTGTTCCCCATCCATGGCAGTGACCTTGTTCGAGCTTACGGTGGTCAACAACTGGTACATCATCATGGTGAGTGTTGCTCGCGCCGCGTGGGGCCCTTCTATGATCACCCTCTCCTCTTCTACGTCCAGTAAGCACTGGCCCAAGACTCTGGCTGCAGGGTCAGCCAAAGATGGCTCTACTCTGGGCCGGTCAGACAGGAGCTCGCTGTGCCAAGGGCCATGGTGTCTGCTAGCCTCCGCTGATGAGACCTTTCCAGAGGCTCCAGGGTGGACGCTGGAGGCTTTTCCCCAAATGTCCAGAAGTGAATTCCAAGCGGAGATCTCGTCACCGCCCTCACTCGTGCCGATCCTTCCTCTGGCTGGCTGCCCAGCGCCATGGTCCGGGCCACAGAGCCATCCTGGGGTGCTCACTGTGCACGGGCCTGGGCCGGGGGCTCCGAGGAATGCAGGCATCACAGGCCCTTCCTAAAGGACCTCACGGTCTGCTTCTCCCCTTGGTCTTCAGGAAGGTGTCACCTCCCAGACTTCCCACTGGAGTCGCCTCTACTTCATGACGTTCTACATCGTGACCATGGTAGGTTCCTGCCCTGGAGAGGGCATCTCTCTCCCCCTGCCCACCTCTCCTTCCTTCATGGTGCCACGCCAGGAGGCTGGAGGTGGGATGGCTGAAGCATCTGGCGCTGCCCAGCTTGCAGAGGCCTCCCTGACCCTCTCTGCGTCCCCTGGCCAGGTGGTGATGACCATTATCGTAGCCTTCATCCTTGAGGCCTTCGTTTTCCGCATGAACTATAGCCGGAAAAACCAGGACTCTGAAGGTCAGTGCCAGGCCTCTGAGGCCCTGGGGTCTGCCAGCTGCCTTTTACGCCCAAAATCCAAAACCCCCAAAAAAGTAGGGCCGAGGAAAGAGCCCAGAAACCCCAGGAAGGACAATCCCTTGCCCTTTGGCCCTGAGCTGGGAGCGGAGCCGGCCCCTGCTTGAAGCTCCTGGTGTTTCTCTCCTTTGGCAGTAGACGGCGGCATCATCCTGGAGAGGGACGTTTCCAGGGAGGAGCTGATTGCGGTCCTGGAGCTCTATAGGCAGACCCAGGGTTCTGGGTCTGATGTCTCTCAGCTGCTGAAAACCCGCTTGCAGATGGACAAGTATGGGGTGAGTGACCGCGTCAGCCGAATACACCTGTGCTGTCTGGCCCGATCCCTTGGGCCTGCAGGGTGGGGCGGGGCCGGTGACATCTTCCTTAGCTAATAGCCGAAACATCTGGCCTGTGAGCCTTAGAGAGTTTAATTTGCCGAAGATGGGACAGAAAGCCCTAGTGACTAACAGCGTGGGGCCTGAGGGGCCTCAGAGATTTCCTCCCACCACCCCCATAGCACAGGCCCTTTATAATGTTCGGCCTTTTCTTCCTTCAAGCAAAACTCGGTGGTGTTTCTGGGAAGAAGGTCAAAGACCAAAAGTGACCTGAGCCTGAAGATGTACCAAGAAGAGATAAAGGTAGGAACAAGCATGCTGCCCACCCAGCCCACAGGCCTGCCTCTGCCTGTGCACATGGACGGCTGGTGCAGAGGGAAGGACAGAGAGTGTTGGGCTGGGGGTCAGGAAGACCTGAATTCAAATCCTGCCTCAGGCATTTACTAGCTGGGTGACCCTGGGTAGTCCTTTAGCCTAAGCCTCAGCTTTCTCATCTGTAAAATGGGGATAATAGCACCTGCCAGACGGGATTATTGTGAGGACCTGCTGAGATAATAAATGTAAAGTGCTTTGTCAGTCTGGAAGCACGGGTGGGAATGCCAGGGTCATTACATGGCACTGCCACAGAGAAGGAGCCCAGCCCTGAGCTGAACAAATGACCGTTCTTGCCCCCGGTCAGACGTAGCAAGGCTGACACCTGCTTACGCTCGGTTCTGTCCTTTCAGGGGTGGAGCCCGGGCAGGGAGTTGGGCCGGGGCAGCTCTTGGCTCCCTGCTGGGCTCCCACCACGTACGACCTTCAGCCCCCTCCTCTCCCTCCATGGCAGGAATGGTACGAGGAGCATGCCCGGGAACAGGAGCTGTGGAGCAGGCAGGAGGGTCCCGGCACCGTCCTCCCCCCGTCCCAGCAGTGCCCAGGAGGCCGGCCTCGCTCCCAGACCATCATCTAGCCAGCCCAGCTAACAGAAGCCATTTCTTCTATGCAATAACAGAGTAGTATTATTTTACAATAATCTATTGAACTATGTATGTGTGGGTAAAGTGGGGTTAGGTTTTTAACCCCCTTGTGCTCACTCTCCCCGTTTGTCCTAACTCCAAAAGTCAGTAACTTTGGAAGACCAACCCAGCATGGGCCCCCCTCCACTGAGGTGACCCTAAGCTGCAGAATAACCCTTTTTTTTTTTTTTTAAAAAAAAGGACCCACTCGTTTTGAAAATGGGCTCCCACCCCCTTGAGTGGGCTGTGCCCATCACCCCCTTTTCTGGACAGATGGCCCCAATGCACACAGACTCAGGGGCTGATCTGACACCCCCCCATCCTCCCATATACCTACCTGTGTTTCTCTGTCTCAATTTAGGGACAAAACCACTGAAAAAAAAGAGACAGAGCCCGGGGAGGAGAGGGGTCGGGTTTTCTATATTGTCGATGACAGCGTCCTGCTTGTTGAACAGCGGGGTGCCTGGGCATTGTGTGAAGGGAAGGCAGGGAGTGGATTCACCAAGTGCCCAGGGAAAGGCCAGGGAAATCGAGGCTCTTCCCCAAAAGATTCCATTTCAGTCGTGTTGTTCGCTCAGCAAACATTTACTCCAAAAGACAACAACGAAACAGCCCACAGAGGCAGGAGCCCCCTGTTCCACCCACGCCATGCTGCCACTGCGGGTTTCCCACCTGCGCGTGGGGAGGCTTCCTTGCCTGGCTAGTGACGGACTAGAGCCCACTTCTTGGGGGCCAGGCCCGTTGAGGGGGAATGCCATGGGAAATGGGGCCAAGCATAGTGAATGGGCCCTGGAACATCTCTCAGGAGTCATTTTTTCTATGTATTCCCCAAGTTCAAGCCTGTTGCCTTGTAACTGGACTGTGGCCCATCAAAGTAGAGAATGGAAAAGGATCCTACTTCCTTATGATTTTTGCTTCATTGCAGTCTGGCTAACTGAAGTCTGACTGTGTTTCCATTAATGTTTGCATAGAATTATATTCATGTGTGTATATATCTATACATATGTATCATATTCTCCTTGGAGAAGAAAGGGGATAGTCAGAAAATTAGCCTCACATTGGCAACTGAATTACAAGTTAGCACCGACTGTCCCGAGGATGCCCTGTGTGGGGATGCTCTCACCCCAGGCTCCCCGGTCTTCTCTCTCCCGCTCTGGAGGGTGACTGACCAAGAGCTGAGCCTTCGACTGTCTTTCAGCATGTATGCCCTAGCAGCAGAGTGGACCTCGGAAGGGTTCTCTTAAACTCTTCATTCATTTCCCGGGCATCACCTTGGTTCCCTGGCATTGGGGTTGGAGGCAGCTTGACTGTGTAATTCCTTCTCGAGCTTTGAGCCGGGGAGAATCGTGGGATCACAGATGACAAGGTGGGAGGGACCTTCCTCAGTTCACCTGGTCCGGCTGATGCTTGGGTCCAAAGCAGCCCATGATCCCTGGGTGCCTAGGCTGTCCCAGAGCCCTTCCCAGATGGCCATACCAGGATGCTCCCCGAGTAAGGTCACCCAGCCTGGGGCAGTCTGCAGCAGTGGTGGCACTTAGGCTGTTTGGAAGCTGCCTCTGATCTCCTGCTTGTCCTCTTGGGCCTGGGAGCAAGGGTAGAGGGGTACTTCCTGGCAGAGGAAGAAGGAAAAGCAAAATCCTCCAAAAATCTGTGTAGGAAGCAGCAGCTGGTCTGGGGGTTTCAAGCCCCCAGCTTCTTCCTGCCACTGCTGCCTAATTGGACGTGAAGAGGGTAAGCACGTTTCTTCCTCTGTGTAGTCATCTCATCAATGGGGAGTGAGTGGGCAGCTTGTGGGGCAGTGTGGTCTTTCTCCCCAGAAGGGACAGCTGCTGGCAGCAGCCAGGCCTTTCCCATCCCACCATCCTCTCACATCATCTCAAGTGACAGGGGGCCGGGCCACTGGGTTTCTATCCTGGAAACCAAACTTGCCTTTCACATGGAAAGGAATTCTGGGTTGATTAACAAAGTTCCCTCCCTTGAGTCTGGGAATGGGAAAGGCTATTGAGTCCTGCAGAAAAGAGCCAGGATTGGGGACCCAGAAGATCAGAGGGGCCTGGTTCTTCCCTGGCTGTCTGCTTTGGTGCTCTCAGGCCCTTCCTAGCAAGTCTAGAGGGACTGATGAAACAACCCCACCCCTAGGCCCTCCCAAAAGGAAAAAATACAAAGCTAATCAAATGTTTGTACCGTGGGTAGCTGGGGCATTTTGTGGAATGCGTAGCCAACCCTCTGGGCTTCCGGGATATACTGGCTTCTGGAGATGAATAGAATCAAGAAAGCTTAGAGCAAAGCTGGAGACCACTGGTGGGTCTTTGCAGTGAGAATCTGCACCTCCCTCAGCTCTGTAGGTATCAGTGGTGTCCCTGCCCCCCCCCCCCCAAGCACAAAGCTAGAGCTTAGAGCCCGTGACATGCCTGGATGTGTGATTCTTTAGTGATGTTGAAACTTTGGTGCAGCTAGTCTGCAGATGGCAGGGCCAGTCCAGAAGACACTGAGCAGTGTGGGCCCAGGAGGACTTTAGAAATGGCCTGAGCCAAACCGGGACTGGGCAAAGGTAACAGTGGTTGTGCTGTGGTGTCTGCTGACCACGCAGGGAGGGGGTAGAGCTGCCTCGATTTACCACTGCAGAGCCTTTGGCACAATCTGCTTGGATGCCCTGAGTTTCCAGGTGTCCCAAGTCGAACTGAAGTCAGTTTAGTTTCAGAGCCAGAGGGGACCAATCCCCTCCTTAGCTGTGGACATGGGTAACTTGCCCAAGGACACACGGCACGTCTGTGGCAGAGCCGAGACTTTTGTCCCTGGCCTGCTTTGCACAAATTTGGAGAGAATACCTTGGGGGTAAAGGTATCTGCTCCTGTCCCTCCTTGATCCCTCCTCCCCTTTTCCCTCAGCCTTACTCAGAACCACTGAGACAATCATTTTGTATGGACAAGAGAAGCGTCGTGAGGTTTTGTACATTGGAAATTTGTTACCTAAATAACCCATCAGTATGAGGGTCTCTAGAACTTAGGCACATTAATAAAAGGATACTCTCTGCTTTGTAAAGATGGCTCTGGTCTTGATTTTGGGGATGGGGGGGTGTTGGTGGGAGGGGGGTCGGCCTTTACCACTACTGCTGGAGGACGTGGAACAATGGACACTTCTTCCCTGCCCTACCCTTCCCCTTGCATGTTTAGCACCTCCTTCCTGGTGGCAGTTGGGGCTTCTGGTCCTGAGAATTACTCTTGGAAATAGGTGACACAGTGGATAGAGCATCCGGCCTAGTGTCTAGAAGACCTGAGTTCAATCCAATCTCAAGAGGCTTACTAGCTGTGGGCTCCTAGGCAAGTCACCTAACCTCTGTTTGACACAGTTTCCTCATCTGTAAAATGGGAATAATAACCACCTACCTTGCTCGATTATTGCGGGATCAAAAGAAGTAATATTTGTAAAGCACTAAGCATAGTGCCCAGCACATAGTAGGTGCTTATAAATGCTTGTTCCCTCCCTCATTTTACAGATAAGGAAACTGATTCCTCCAATGATTCCTCCAAGGTCCAGAAGTAGTAGGCAGCAGAACAAAGTTTTGAACTAGGGTCATCTTGACTCCACTGCTCCCAGGCCCCTGAACACTTCCACAACAATGACCAGAGACTCTCAACCCAGAAAACACACCACTCTGTCCACAGGGACACTGAAGGGCTTTAATTACAACAGGTCTTCAGGCCTCAGGTCAACTGTGTGAACTTCTTGTCCACGGCTGGAGGTGAGGGTGGGGTGTCCCTGAGTTGTGGATGTCTTGACTCCTTGAGTCTGAAGATTCAGATGATGCTTTAACAATGACAAGGAGAGCAGGACAGGATTGTGTCTGTTTTCTTGAGGTCAGGGCACCCCGCCCCGGGGCAGCTGCCTCCAATTTCCTACAGCAGCTAGGCCCGCTGGCTGGCCACCAACCCACAGGAGCCACTTTTCAGTCCCAGATCCTGTTCTCCATCCCATGGGGTTTCTGGCTTCAGAGAATGGAGTTCCATCTTTTCTTCTCCCTTTGGTGGAGAGAAGCACCAGTAACCACCGCTGGGGGCTCGCAGACTTGCTCTTTCACCTCCAGCTCCCACCCGGACCACCCAGAAGAGGGAGGAGCGCCCTGTCACCTACCTCGGGCTGGTGTCCTTCACCCAGCTCCCACGTGAATCACCCCAAACTCTGTGAGTAGTGCCACAACGAGGAAAGTCAGGTAGAAGAAGAGCAGGCAGAACCCATAGACTTTGTTCAGGTGGAAGCACTGGAGAGGTACCGAGATGAAGGAAAACAGCAGACTGAACCCCAGGGCTCCCGCCAAGACCCACACCAACAGTCCATCAGACTCCAGCTGGAAAGAGACAAAGGTCACCAGGAGCACATTCAAGTACCTATAGATGGAACTAGGTAGAAAGCCAAAAACCTAAAAAGAGAAAGTGTATGCTTCCATCTCCTTTCATTACAAGGGAGTCTAATATTACATCTACTATATGACAGTCAATGTGTGCGTTAATTTTTTAAACTGAGTTTATAATTTTTTTAATATTTTTAAAAAATTTTTGATTCTGAATTCTCTCCCTCCTGCCCCTTCCCTACCCATTGAGAAGATAAGAAATATTATATTATACATGTGAAGTCATGGAAAACATTTCCTATTAGCCATGCTGGAGGAGGAAAAAAGCAAGAAAAATAAAGTAAAAAAAATACGCTTCATCTGCACTCAGAGTTCATCAGTTCTCTCTTTAGAGGTGGATAGCATTTTTCATCTTAAGACCTTTGGAACTATCTTAGATCATTGTCTTGATCAGAATAGCTAAGCTTCACAGTTGATCATCATACAATATTGCTATTTCTGTGTATGTTGAACTGACTTTTAAAGATTTGGGGTTATAAGGAATGGTTTCTGGGAAGGATCTACAGATCATTTTACATTAGTGCAAATAATCACTACAAAGCAGTCACATTCAAATGTGCAATGCAATATTTCCTTCGGGCCATAACCAGTTACCATATTTTATTGTTGTTTAGTTATTCAGTCATGTATGACTCATGGACCTATGGACCACAGCACACCAGGCCCTTCTATCCTCCACTGTCTCCTGAAGTCCAAGTTCATATTCATCATTTCCATGACACCATCCAACCATCTCGTCCTCTACCATCCCCTTTTCCTTTTGCCTTCAATCTTTCCCAACATCAGTCTTTTCCAATGAGTCCTGTAGTCTTATTATGTGGCCAAAGTATTTAAGTTTCAGCTTCAGTGGTTAATTTATTTAAGTATTGACTGATTTGATCTCCTTGCTATCCAAGGGACTCTCAAAAATCTCCAGCGCTATAATTTGAAAGCATTTATTCTGTGGCACTCAGCTTTCCTTGTAGTCCATACACAACCATACATTGCTACTGGAAACACCATAGCTTTCACTATATGGACCTTTGTCAGCTAGGCGATGTCTCTGCTTTTTTGTATGCTGTCCACATTTGTCATAGCTTTCCTTCTAAAGAACAAGCATCTTTTGATTTCAGGGCTGCAAGCACCATCTGCAGTGATCTTTGAGCCCAAGAATATAAAATCTGACACTGCTTCCATTTCTTCTCCCTCTATTTGCTAGGAAGTGATGGGACCAGTTGCCAAGATCTTAGTTTTTTTTTATGCTAAGCTTCAAGATAGCTTTTGCTCTCTCCTCCTTCACCCTCATTAAAAGGCTTCTTAATTCCTCTTCATTTTCTGCCATCAGAGTGGTATCATCTGCATATCTGAGATTGTTGATATTTCTCCCAGTAACCTTAATTCTGACTTTTGATTCATCCAGTCTGGCATTTCATATGATGTACTCTGCATATAAGTTAAATAAGGTGACAGTATACCGCCTTGTCCTTTTCCAATCTTAAACCAATCAATCATTCAATGTTTAGTTCCAACTATTGCTTCTTAGCTCACATACAGGTTCCTCAGGAGACAAGTAAAATGATCTTGTACTCCCATCTCTTTAAGGTGTTTTTCTGGAATTCCCTTGCTTTCTCCAAAATCCAGTGAATATTGGCAATTTGGTCTCTAGTTCCTCTGCCTCTTCAACAACCAGCCTGCTCTTCTACTAATTCTCAGTTCACATATTGCTGAAGCCTAGCTTGCAGAATCTTAAAACACAATGTTGCTGGTATGGGAAATAAGTGTAACTGTCGGTAACTGAACATTCTTTGACATTGCCATTCTTTAGAATTAGGACATAAACTGATCTTTTCTAATACGGTGGTCATTGCTGAGTTTTCCAAATTTGCTGACACATTGAGTTCAACACTTTAATAGCACCATCTTTGAGGATTTTAAATAGCTCACCTGGAATTCCATCATCTTCACTAGCCTTATTGCTGGCAATGCTTCCTAAGGCCTACTTGACTTCATTCTCCAGGATGTCTGGCTCTATCTAGATCTGTAACCACACTAGTGACGCTAAGTTCTTTTGTATATTCTTGTCACTTCGTCTTAATCTCTTCTGCTTCTGCTAAATTCCTACCATTTTTGTCTTTTATCATGCCCGTTTTTGCATGAACCATTTACCCTTGATATCTCTATTTTTTTTGAGGAGATCTCTTGTCTTTCCCATTCTATTGTTTTCCTCTATTTCTTTGCATTACTCATTTAAGAAAGTCTTCCTGTCTTTCCTTGTTATTCTCTGGAATTCTGCATTCAGTTGGGTCTATCTTTCCCTTTCCTTTCCCTTTTGCTTTCCTTCTTTTCCCAGTTATTTGTAAAAGCCTCATCAGACAGCCATTTTACTTACCATATTTTACATAATTATAACTTCAGATAGTGCAAATTCAAACACATGTGACCACTTCAGGGGATTCTTATTAATTGGGACCTGGCTATATTCAGAAACGAATATAATACAGGAACCTAAAGCATCAATAAAAATTTGATTAAATTTTAAACTAAGGGTATGCCTACAGGTGCCATAATACCAGGACTTACCAGGTATGTGGCCCACTAGAATGTAGGGAGAGACATAAGGCTACATGGTCCTGGCTAGGTAACTTTCCTACTGAGAGACAGACCCTTGAAGAGACTGAGAGGCTAAGTGACTTGCCTGGGGTCACACAGCTAGTGTCTGAGGCTGGATTTGAACTCAGGTCTTCTTGACCCCAAGTCCAGTACTCTAGCTGCCCCTCTAGTGCTGCCCCCTCGCTGTCCTTGAGTATGAGAATGAAGATGGGAGGCATGGCAGATCTTCTCGAGCAGCTATGCAGAAGAGGCCTGTTTGGTGGGGCAGTGGGTCGAGGGAACTGAGAGATAAGGTAGCTTCCTCCCAAACAGAGCGACCTCCCATGGTATGGGAATTCCTGGAGAGGTAAGTGAGTGGGAGAGTGGAAAGACTCCTCATGGAGGGTCTTCAAGCCTAGACTGGGTGACTCCTTGTTGATGGCCCTTTGGAGAGGTGTGGATTGAGTTAGGTGGGCTCTGAGGTCCATCCCTCCAGATTCTGAATTAGTGGTGCAGCAGATATGGATAGATCCAAGTTCAAAACCAGCCTCAGATACTCCCTAGCTGTGTAACCCTGGGCAAGTCACTTTACCTCTGCCTGCCTCGATATCCTCATCTGTAAAATGGGGATAATAATAGAGCCCAGGGTTGTTGTGAGGATCCAGTGAGATAATAATTGTAAAGCACTTAGCACAGTGCCTGGCACATAGTAGGTGCTACATAAATACCAGCTGTGATGAGAAGGAGGATGTTTGGTTCTATATGCCTCGGTATCCTTTCTTTTTTCTTATTTATTTATTATTTTATTTCCCCCAATTACATGTAAAAACAATTTTTAACGTTTGTTTTTAAAATTGAGTTCCAAATTCTCTCCTTCCTTCCTACCCCCCCCATAGTCATGCAAAACTTATTTCCCTATTAGTCTTGTTGTAAAAGAAAACATACCAAGAAAAATAAAGTAAAAAAAAAAAGTATGCTTCAATCTCTATGCAGACTCCACCAGTTCTTTCTCTAGGGATGGATAGCATTATTCATCATGGGCCCTTTGGGATTGTCTTGGATCATTGTATTACTGAGAATAGCTAGGTCATTCACAGTTGATCATCATACAACATTGCTGTTACTGCAGACAATGTTTTCCTGGTTCTGCTCATTTCACATTGCATCAGTTCAGGTAAGCCTTGCCAGGTTTTCTGAGAGCATCCTGCTCATCATTTTTTTGTTTTGTTTTGTTTTTTAATTTTTTTCTCATCATTTCTTTCGCACAATAATATCCCATCATAATCATATACCACAACTTGTTCAGCTATTCCCCAGTTGATGGGCATCCCCTCAGTTTCTAATTCTTTGTCACCACTAAAAGATCTGCTATGAATATTTTTGTGTATGTGTGTCCTTTTCCTTTTTCTTTTTTTATCTCTTTTGGGATACAGACCTAGTAGTGGTATGGCTAGGTCAAAGGGTATACATGGTTTTATAGCCCTTTGGGCATAGTTCCCAACCGCTTTACATAATATCCAGTACCCTTTCTTTACCTAGTGTCCAACAACCTACCTTCACATCTGTGTGGTTTCTAGAGGCCTCCAGCACACAGCCCAGACCAACACCTACAAGGATATCTGCAGCCAAGTTCAGGACAAAATAAGGAATTCATGACACAGAAATTCATTAATTTTTGGCATTTTGTTCTTGTGTCTTAAGTGCATACAATAGGCCCAGGAAATGTCCATTAGAATGTCACATCCCATTAGGCCAGCATCATCCAAGAGTGGGAAGAACAGTCTTTGGAATCAGGGGATGAGGGTTCAAATCCTGGCTCAGACACACACCACCTGGGTGACCCCGGGCAATTCACCTAACCAGCCCAGCCTCAGTTCCCTCACCTATAAAATTCATGGCTGGAGTGGACAGCCCCTAAGGCCCCTTCCAGCTATAAATCTGATCCTCTGACCTGGATTCAAATCCCACCCCTGCCATTTACTACCTATATGACCTTGGACAAGTCAGTTCTCTCTAGGCCTCGGCTTAATTAAGCTCCCGGACCAGATGACTATAGGCTTTCAATCTTGAACATGAGCACTTCACTGGAAGCTTCAACCAGCTTTAACAGCATTCTTCCTGAGACCTTTCCCATGGGTTACCTCATCTAGTCTTTGAACGTACAAATGGTGGGTGGGGAATATCATTACCGTCTTATAGATGGGAAGGCTGAAGCTCAGAAAGGCGATGAATCAAGTGCAATCACTGTTGGAGCCAAAATAGGAGCCAAGAGGGTAGGGGAGTGGCGGGGGATAGGGCTGGATCCCGGGGACACCTCACTGTACGGACCCCCTATCCCCACGTTTTACCTCTGTGCAGGAATGAGTGAAAAAGTGTTTTTTCCTTGTTATTGTTGCTTCGGTCTCTTCGTGACCCCATTTGGGTTTGTTTGTTTTTCTGTTTTGGAGTGCTTTGCCATTTCCTTCTCCAGCTCATTTGACAGATGAGGAAACTGAGGCAAACAGGGCTAAGTGACTTGCCCAGGATCATACAGCTAGTAAGTGTCTGAGGCCAGATTCCGACTCAGGAAGATAAGTCTTCCAGACTTCAGGCCCAGCATTCTATCCACTTCGCCTAGCTAATGCTGCTGCTGCTACTGCTCCCACTCTCACTACTACTGCTGCTACTATTACTGCTACTGCTGTTGCTGCTGCTACTACTACTACTACTCTCAGTATTACTACTGCTACTATTACTGCTAATGCTACTACAGCTAGTGATAATGCTGCTGCTGCTGCTACTACTACTACTCCTCCTCCTCTCGCTACTACTACTGCTACTATTACTGCTATGGCTGTTGCTACTACTACTACTGCTGCTGCTGCTACTACTACTACTCCTCCTCTCGCTACTACTACTGCTACTATTACTGCTATGGCTGTTGCTACTACTACTACTGCT